CCCCCCCCCCCCCCCCCCCGCCTTCTTTTTTGTTTTTATTTTTAAGTTATAGTATAAGTGTTTGTTTATAAGTTATAAATATAAGTTTTTATAGTTTATTATTTTTTAGTATATCTTAAATAAGTGTTTTGTTTTTATAAGTTATATTATAAGTTCTTTGTTTATAATAGTAATATTTATAAGTTTTTATATATATTTAGTTATAAGTTTTATTAAAAGTTTTATAAGTCTTATCATATGTGTAGTAGTTAGTTTGTTTTGTTTCGTGACAATGTGTAACCATTGATTTCAAAAGTACAATCTTTCTCCGTGGGATCGACCCTTACTTGCCCTAGCTATAGTTTTTGTTTGATTATATCATGGGGGTTAGTTAAGGTTATTTATAAATTTTTAATTTGTTTTGGACCGCACGACGGGTCCTCAACAATGAGGATAACGGGTACGCATGCACTACGCCAAAAACAGTATCAGACGACTGTTGATTAACTACTGTTAATGGAAACACAGTAGTTGGAAAAAAACATACTACTGTAAGTTTTTCTCGGCAACACAACAGTAGTCTAGTTATTATGCTTTAAAACTATTTTTAAAGTTTCGAGAAACGGTAATCTATCACTAGTTGTCTGTGTCAGTTCAAAATACAGTTTTTGTTACAATAGTTGTCAATAACAAGTTAAGAATACTCTATCTAAAGAGTAGTCTGGTGTTTTTGTCTAAAACTGTTTTTAAACTTATTAGAAACAGTTATCTATCGCTAGTTGTCTGTTTCATATAGTTTTTTTGCCACTGTTGTTTATAATGGGAATAGAAGACTCTTTTGTAATAGTAGTCTATGAAGTAAGCGTAGAACTGTTTTTAAAGTTGTGAGAAATGGTAATCTTTTATTAGTAGTCCGTTTCATCTAAAAATACAGTTTTTGTTGCCACGGTTGTCTAAAAATACAGTTTCATCTAATATTTCTTAATAGTATTCTGGTTTTTTAGTGTATAACTGTTTTTAAACTTATAAGAAATAGTATTCTATTGTAAGTTGTATGTTTCATATGGTTTTGTTTTGCAAAGTTGTTTATTATAAGAATAGAAGACTCCCTTGTAACAGTAGTATATTTATATAGCGTAGAACTATTTTTTAAATTCATAGAAACCATAATCTATTACAAGTTTTCTATAACAAATTAAGAATACCCTTTTTAAACAGTAGTTAGACTATTAAGCCTAGAACTATGTTTAAAGTTTTGAGCACTACTACAATCATGACTTTACATAGCAGATAAATAAGGCTTTTCCCATCGTAAAACAACCGCTGTCTATGCAACCGATGGGAAAAGTTTCTTGTTTACATAGCGGAAAATTTTCGCTGTGTAAGGTTTACATAGCGGATATTTATTCGATGTGTAAAGTTTACAGAGCAGATAATTATCCGCTGTGTAAAAATGAAAGTTTTCCCATCGATTTCATAGACAACGGTGGTTTTGCGCTTTATACATCGGAAAATTATCCACTATGTAAACTTTACACATCAGGTAAATATCCGTTGTATAAACAAAATTACTTTCTCATTGATTGCAAAGACATCGGTTGTTTTTTATGGGAAAAATCATATTTATCCACCTTAAAAATTGCTAGTTACACACACACACATATAATATATATACATATATATAAAGAAATTAAAATTTTTATTGAATATTAAAAGAAGTGATACAAACGAACAAATACAACCCAACAAACTTGATCTAGTGCTAATTCTACAACCTATTACAAAAATTGGACACAAGTGTTAAAGCCAAAGCAAAAAATACCAGACACAAATCAAAAGATTTAAAATGAACAAAATTACACTGCATATTCTCCATAGCTGTTTTAGAGTCCAGGGTATTTGCCAGCGCCATATGCTTATAAGAAGTATCCATGTTCCTTAGGTTGAGGCGAAAGCACTCCACTGCTCTGAAAACCAAACATCTAGGCATTGAGTATTAAGATCCAAGTCCTGATCAGATTTATAGAAAAGATAATGTGAAAATACAATATACTGATAATAATTAATATATCAGAACATAAACCATCACACTTGGGAAGAGGGAGAATGAAATTGGGTAAAGGGAAAATGAATTTGATGAAAATTGGGAAGAGGGAAAATGAAATTGGGAAGACGGAAAATGAATTTGGTGAAAATTGGGAAGAGGGAGAATGAAATTGGGAAAAGGGAAAATGAATTTGATGAAAATTGGGAAGAGGGAAAATGAAATTGGGAAGACGGAAAATGAATTTGGTGAAAATTGGGAAGAGGGAGAATGAAATTGGAAAGAGGGAAAATTAATTTGGTGAAAATTGGGAAGAGGGAAAATGAAATTGGGAAGAGGGAGAATGAAATTGGGAAGAGGGAAAATGAATTTGGTGAAAATTAGGAAGAGGGAGAATGAATTTGGGAAGAGGGAAAACTTCTCATCTTTTCTATGTCCTTCTAGTTTCTTCCAACAACAATTTAATGTCATTTGATAATATCTTATTTGATCTGATCTTGTCTGATCTAATATGTTAAGATCTAGTCTGATTTGATTTGATCTGAGTAAAATTATATGTAAGTTTGTTGATTATTTGATAAAATAAAATGTTAGAATAAGAGACTAACGCTAGAGGGGGGGGGGGGTGAATAGCACACCGAGAAGTAAAGAGAAGAGTAAGAGGCACACCGATTTTACCCTGGTTCACCACAACTTGTGGCTAATCCAGCCTCCCGAGAGACTCTCTCCCACTTTCTTCATAGGGATTTCATCTCCATTTTTGATCACCAACCACAATTGGAAATTGGTGGAACAAATGTAGATTCTCATCCGTTCCTTCCAATAAGAGTAGTTGGTGCCATCAAAGAGTGGTGGCCTAGAAGTTGATTGACCTTCTCCAATTCCCGCATAGAGATTTCTAGAAGAAGAGCCCATGATCGCTTTACTCTCAAACGCTTAAGTTTGGACGCGAGTTAGGCTCTGATACCAATTGTTAGAATAAGAGACTAATGCTAGAGGGGGGGTGAATAGCGTTTGATCAAAAATCGCAGGAATAAAAAATGAATAAACGAGAAGTAAAGAGAAGAGTAAGAAGGCACACCGATTTTACCCTGGTTCACCACAACTTGTGGCTAATCCAGCCTCCCGAGAGACTCTCTCGAGCTACACTACTACCTCGTTAAGCTTAACGGTGCTTAACAAACCCGTACAACT